GAAGATAGGTGTGACTCGCGTATTGAGATGCGACATAAGGATGACAAATCCTGAACAGTTTTAATATTTTTAATATTAAAAATTTATCAATATATATTTTAGTTATTTTAGTATAAAGACAACAGGGCATGCAATGAAGTAGTTTGACATACATCGAAAAGCACCTGAAGATGGCACTTTTGTGCTGAAACATGTAGCGCAAGAGAGAAGAGTAAGGTGAATAAATGTATGCACTGTAAGACGGTTAGAATAAATCATGGACATAAATCAGTGCAACAGGATGCTAAAATATAATATTACTTAGTTCTTACTGTCTAATTTATTTTCTCCATCTTACGCATACAAAATGCCATATTACCTTATTTATATGCTCTTTTGAATTTAAATGTTGGTAAAACCAATGTGTTCTCCTAGTATAAAAGAGGCTTAAAAACAAAGATATCTCACTTCAGATCATACATGTAAAACAAATGAATGTTTCGTTTCAGAGTACATGTGAGGCAGCTGTTATAATTCCAAGTTGTGAGACTATGATGTCATCTTTTGTTTAGATCATGAACTGCTGTGAAACTACTGATAGGATGTCCACGGTTTTGCTCCCATGGCAACCACAATGTGCTCTCCTCAATGGAGTAAAAGACATGAAGGTACTCTTGAAGAAATGAACTGGGTCTTTCTGTAAAGTGCCCATTATTTCTGTTTGATTTCAACCAAAACTGAATTATGCAAACAGATTTTAGTAAAACTCCCCAATATAAACTGTCATGAAATCCATATAGTGGGAACAGGCTTGTTTCATGCAGAAAGACAGATATAAATGAAGCTAACAGATGTTTTTCAAATTTTTGTGAATGCACCTAAAATAAATTACACATTAGTAACTATGGGGGAAGAAAAAGCATTCACTGTAACTGCCTTGTGATACTTTCTCATAAAACAAGAGGGAAGGGAAATGACAAGCCTAAGATGTGCATAAAATAATACTGACATACATGGACTCAACAGTAATGCATGCATTCTGTACATTTTGATTTATATATGTATATGGACTGCAAATAAATATTATATTCAAAATAATTATCAAATTACTTGTCTTTTTCTCATGCCATGCAAATGGGATAACCCAAGGTGGACATACTGAAGTTAGACAGTACACAAAATAAAATGTACCACAGTGAGGTCCAAGTATGCTAAATATATAAGACAAAACCACATAGAGTAATCCCTTGCTAGCTGTAGATTTCAAGCATCTGTGGTTTTAAATCTGGGCAGACATGGGAAGCACTGATGACTTCTGCATGGACAGCTTCACATTTTCTGGAGACAGAGCTCTAACGGATTCAGTTTTCTAGTTCTGTACATCAGCATTGCAGCGTGTCTTTTCATAGCTTTTCTACAATGACTACTGTGGCTATGCTTCTGTAATTATATACAGTTTGGTGAATTAATGGACCTATTTTCAACGGACCTTAGGCATCGGCAACTGACAACTGCTTACATTAATTGTGGTCCCATAACACCCTATCTGTCTTCCAAACTGTAGTTTTTAATGTAATACTGGCAATAGGCAAGGGACTTCTGTATGTGAATGAGAATTGGGCACACCTGTACTTTGCTCAAGTAATTCAACTTATCATAATTTATAAAATTCACTAAGTGAACAAACCATATGTTGCATCTTCAATTACCAATGTACTTCGATCCACATTCAGTTAAGTTCGCTTTTCTTCTACTATCCAACTAAATAACTAAAACAGATCTTCACCATTCATATAGAGTCTGTGACATAAGAACAGTGCAATGTTAAAATTGAACATACCTGCAGAAGGCGGATTCCTTCAGCAAGCATGGCAGAAAGAATGCGTGTTGTATAGAAACCAGGACCATCCTTGACTGTGATCACTATTTTTCCTTGCTTCAGTCCAACTTCAACCGCAGTGGCAGCTGTATCCTTGGATGTCTTGTCTGTTGTGATCACTTCAAGTAGTTGCATTTTGTCCACAGGCGAGAAATAATGCATCCCTATCACCTGTATGGGAAATGTTGACTTCATGTCACTTTAATGCATTCAAAAGCCAAACCTGGCATCCTCATCGCAGAGGCGGGTAACATCTGAAAAGATGGCCAACAGGGCAATGGTCTGCCTAGGCCAAGGTGTGAGGCAACATGTCGAGCACTGTGTTGCACAGGGGTAGGATTTATTCAGTGCTGTTAACGATCCCCTTGGGGCACCAGGCAGCAGCACCATTATGGGGCACTGTGGGTGGTGACCTTTTAGATCCCCTATACTCATGGGACCGCAAATAGAAACCAACAGAAAGAACACAGATCTTCAAGACAGAATCTCCTCCAAGGAGATCCCTACAAGAAATTCTTCAGCAGGGAGCTAAAGCCTACCATCTTGGGGCACTGATGCAACCAGCAAACCCACTGTTGAGATTTCAGCCAAAGGCAGGGACAAACCTGCCAACGAACCTGCAAAACTGGGTCCATTTACAGGACCTGAACCAGCTTGTGGCATTTCAGTAGGAGTTACCAACAAAGGTGTGAGGAATAGGACAGAGATCATAAAACAGAAGACTCAAAAAGGAAAAGGGACTCATACAAGGACCCTCTACCAGAAGAACCAAGGAACTGTTAAGATTAAACAAAAACCGGTTACAATGGGTGGTAGGACTACTTACAGGACACTGTCACCTATAACGACACATTTTCAGAACAGGATTGACAGACAGTCCTACTTGTGAAAGGTGTCTATAACAGGATGAATCAGCCACACAGAACACATGTGAGTGTGAGGCCGTAACTTACTTAAGAATTCATCACCTGGGCCATTATTTTATGGAATCAGACCACTATCATGACACCCCAGTAAGCAAAATCCTGCACGTCATTCGAAGCACAGGATTGGTGCACAACAGTTCACTAAAGATTACAGTGCAAGTGCCAGCAGTTAGGTCCACCCCTTATGTATATATGTAGTTCAGTAAACACCAACAAATTCCACTGAGCAGAGCACATCTTGCCAACCTAACAGCTGTTAACCTAGTACAAAAATTCCCTGCCATTTAAAGAATGTGAAGGTTATTACTGTCTTCACAAGGGATCTCCAGGGGGCACCATATTCAGCCAGCTGAGAACAATCCACACTATTTCTTTATGATTCATTTTAGTATTATCCTCCCAAGTTTCCTTTCTCTTCAAGTTTTCAGAATCAAATTCTGCGTGCATTTGTCTTCTTCCCCATGTATGCTTCACATCCCATACATCTATCTCACACTCCATTACATGTCACCCTAGTTAAACATTCTTAGAACTGGACCACAACCTGACAGGAGATTAGAAACTTTCTTTGTTGCCAGAACTCTACCCATTTGCATCTTTCAACTTTTGGTAAATTTTTATTTGTTCCTCCATTTGTCCTCCATGTGCCCTCGGAATCAGACTGACATTAGTAAATCACAATCTAAATATATGGCTAGCAGAATGTCAACATCTTCAATTCCATTAACACAATGTGGGGAAGAAATCAGTGTTATTACTCTAAGGTAGACAATATGTGAAATTATGCAGTATAACATAAAGGAGTTTTTTCACTAACATGACCTACCTTCTCAGGATTTTTGCTGGCCTTAGCAATCTCAGCAATTGGAAGTGCACTTGTGTTGGTTGCAATGATGCAGTGAGGCGGTGTACATTGCTCTATTTCTTTGATCACATGATGTTTCACTTTCAGATCCTCGAAAACAGCTTCAATCACTAGATCAGCATTCTTGAAGTTTTGATATGACAGTGTTGTGTCTAAGTTGGCAAGGTAGCGATCCCGCTCAAGTCTGCAAGGGAAGAGCATGTCAGAACAGATTTCTTTTTTAATTTGTAAGTGGGGGATGGAGTCTAGTTGGGTCCACTAGTCACGATGGCCAATGATTGGCCTATTGTAGCCTGCCCCAGGTGATTATGATGATGGAGAATTTGGTGGAATGAAGATTGGCAAGGGAAACTGAAGTACTCGGAGAAAACCTGTCCCAGTGCCACTTTGTCCACCATAAATCCCATTTGACCAGAACCAGGATCGAACGCAAGCCAGCAACTAACTGCTTGAGCTATGGCGCGGCCTAAAGAACAGATGTTGCTCGAGTATCATGCCTACATTTGTCAACAGTATCATTTACAGCTGAAGTGCTTTCCCCAGTAGTCATCTGATGATGGTGAAAAATTTTATATGAAGAAAGTTCAAAATCTGAAAAAGTGATGTGGGAAACTACCTTCTGGGATGTGCAACAGCTGAGTTTAGCATCATTCTCCTCCTCCTGCCTGGCAAAGAGGTGTAAATTTCTCACATTCAGACAAAGCTGAACTGTTCGCCTGTTTCTAAAGGATTCTTCTATCATTTACAGAATTAATGTTGTCCAAAAGATGATTCCATACAAGTCAACAATTTCAAAATAGAAATATACTGTAGAATATAGTATTTCGTTGTACTTATCTTATCAGAAATCAATATTTAGTTGCATTCAGCATTTACGAATACACAACATCTGACATGTTCATATTTCTGTAGTATAATGGAAGTCAAGGCTTGTAGCTCTTGTCTAAACAACACCGCTTACATACATACATGGGTAAAACTTCATTAAGGTGGTAATACGGAAAGTGTAAATGACCACTGAGCCAGTTACACCAAAATAGGTTCCTACTTTGCTCCAAGAGTCCAGATAAAAGTCTCATTTATATATTCACTAAAAATGTTGTGCACAAATATAAAAACGTTTGCCCATTCACATGAAGCAAACAGGATTTCATACATCTACATCAAACATGCATTTAACAGAACTGGCATAGTAAAGGTTACCGCTACCACAATTAATATTTCACACAATACTTTCGAAATTAATGTAACATGTGCTGCATTACTTCAAATGTAAGATTCCTTTGAATTTAAGATTCAGTTTCTGAATGTAGGTTTTAGGAAAACAATTAGAAAGATGCAAATTCCTCGAATGTAAGATGGACCTCAATTTTTCAAAGTGAAAAAATGTGTAAAACATGCATCTCATATTCAAAGTAATAACAGTGACTATGAAGATTCCTGTCCTCTGGGATGTAATGAATGGTTTTGTATCTACATTTTAGATAGTACACCCTGAAGATGGATGAAACAGGTTCTTCTGAAACATGAATATCTATATACCAAACTACATGGTGTCACATCCCAGAAAACAGTAATCCTTACATTGTAATGAGAACAAAGTGTGGTGACATTTTATAGTCGGGCCTGATCACAACTCTCATACCATACGGAATGTTAGAGAAGTCTGTTGATTGATGAGGAAGACAGTGGTCACCCACAAGCATTCTAGAGCTTTCTCTGCAAGTGATTTGCCTATAAAAGGAGTATGCAAACAGCTAGTGAGTTAGTTGGCAAAGCAAGCGTTTTACTTCTTAGTGCAGTGCAGGGCTGGGCAGAGGGCTGAGTTCGTGCAAGTCACTCAAGTGAAGTGACTAAGTGCAGTATTGTGAAAAGAAGTGTTGCTATATACTAACGAATAAACAAAATCCTGATCTCAAGAGCACATGAGGTTACTGTGGGAAGGTCCATAGGGTTGTGACATGTTGAGGGTCCCACATTATCTAGACAATCGGCTCAAAGATGGTGGTAAGGTTCTCAGCCTTACGCGCTGGCCACACTTTACTCCCCAGGAAAATTATTTAATTAATTTCTGGTACTCATTTCTGTTAGAGGCTGAATTGACCCCAGGGCCACAGTGTGCCTGCAAGGATTAGGTCAATTGAAAAAAATTCAATGACCTCATCAGGACTTGAACCCGCAACCTTCTGGCTTGTAGCACAGCGCCTCAACCAACAACACTACCGCATGCCCCCTCTCAAATTATCGATAACTGTCAAAATACACAGAGTATTTCAAGTCACATGGTGGACAAGACACAGTTGTCCCATACAAACTATGAAACATGCTAACTACATGTCCTGGCTTTGCTGTCAAAGCTGTTACCATGCAACTGAACTTACAAAGAATACTTTTTCTTTTTGACACCCTTCTCTAGGCCATCCTGGATTTGACCAAGTCCACGGTCCAGTCCACCTTGGTTAGCATCTTTCACGATAACATTGTAGCCCTTGTCTACAGTAACTTGAGCAATGCCAGCACCCATCAAACCAGCTCCCACTACCGCTACAGTTCTGAATAACAAAATGGTTTATGTTCAACTTCTTTATTATAACCATCACAACACAACTATATCAAGATCATTGCCTAGTTTTGGCTCTGCTACATGTTTCGGCTATTAATAGCCATCATCAGGCAAATACATGGTTAACATATATACACTACTGAACTGCAGTACTAGTAAAATTGGATACAATATTATTAATTATATAAAATACTTGACATAAAATACAATAAATTAGATTATATAAAACAAAAGTTATAGTATAAAACAAGAATATAATTCTTGATTGATGTTTTATATCATCGAGTCAGTCATTGGTTTTTGTAATTTTGTTGCATTCCCACAGACAAATTTGAATATTCTAGAATTTGTGTATATATATATAAAATGTATTGGAGGCTCATGATGTAGATGTAGTAATATTAATTATTTAGTCGGTGCCTCATCTTACAAAGTATTGTCCATTCTGTAGGGAATGTAAACAACAACTTTATGTTGTTTACATTGTAAAATAAAAGTTGATAAGGCAGAATGGTATATCAGACATCAGTTACAACTTTCTTATGCATCCTAACACAATTCAAAATTCTGAGTATGTCATAATAATGTAAGTGTGGATTAGCCTGAATAAAGAACACTTTCAATTCATATTACAAAATATGTATGTTAAAAAAAGTTTCATTTGTTGATCTGCTCTCTAATTAACCATTTTTATAAGACACCATTTTTTGAGAGAACTTATCTGTCAAATGGTCTTATTATGTTTGTATAAACATGGTATGTATATGTGGAAGTACAAGATTCCTACATCATAATTAAAGTTGTTCATGAACAAATACTTCTATCTTTTTAACAATCTGCATTATAAATAAGTAAAGTTCCATCTCAATGAAAAATATTATGAAACTGACAGCAGTTTATGCCAGTATACATGCACATTAGCAAACTCACTTGATGTTTTGTTTTGGTACTCCAAAACGATTTTTCTTACATTCAGTTTGCCCACGGAATAAACCAACGAGCCCTTTGCTCTGGGGAGTCATGGCCAGCTCACCAAATGCTATGCTTTCTGCTTCATATCCAGCATGTGGGCCCTTCTCTATTCCTGTTCGTATCACATCCAAGATCTGCAAAATTAATACACTGTAGATATCAGCTGCCTTTTCTTATTACACAAGACAACAAATTGTACCTACAGTTTTGGCATTCATTGGGACATCATGCTACCCCTTAAACAATAATTACCTCCGACACTACACTTTATACAGTCTGGCGGAGTTAATGGCAGAAACTGACAGAGAGGGCATGTGTGAGATTTCAGGTCCTCATGGCAGTAACTACAGCATTAAGATGACTGTAGGTGTAAACATCTACTGCACTACATGATATCACACACCAGAAGATCAGTCTTCATACAGTGCATGTGTTCGTAGAGATAGTATTAAGTTTCAATTGTACACAGCAGTATCCAAGCTTTTCAGAACAGCGGAACATAAATTAATCTCTGTCTTGGCTCATGCAAGTTTAATTGTAATTTGTAGTTTCTTGACATATAAAAGAATACCTGTCTCAAATTTCTTATTTATACAACTAATTCTATGGAACTAGATAGCTCAACAGGCCTAGTGCCAAAGCCTGTCACAGTGCACAATCCTCAACTACCACCATCCACCACCCATCCTTTACAACCTATCTCCCGAAGATCCATTCAGTGTTACCCTCCAAACCCCTGCTATAGTACTGCCATGAGACCATTTTCGAAGAGATTTCTCTACAGAAATTCTGCAGGCATTCCTTATTTACATAACTAGTAAGCTCATCATAGTTGCACAGATTTCACTGGTGTAACAAATCCATACAAATGGATTACAGTAAATCTTTCTTATAATGGACTAATATGGGGGATGCAGCCCTCTGAATTTTGTCACTACATAATTGCCACAACCTCCTCCTCAAAAATCCTATAGTCTAAATCAACTGTGTGACCATTCGTCCAATTACATGTTTGTACCTCACACTGAAATTGAGAAGTTTTATTACAGATAAGAACTCTGGCTAGTCCATAAAATAAACTGCACTTGTAGCGTGCGTTCAACTTTTCAGCTAACAACAGCCTTCAGTCTGCTGCAGCAGAGCCAGTAAACTCTGAAACTGGCATATCTTCACTGGCACAGAACATACCTGCCTCATCCCCTCCCCCATGACAGGGGACAAGCCTAACTCAGACTCTTCAGTTGCCCCCAGTTCTCAGCAGTCTGTCCCCAAGTTGTCCTGGTAGGGTCAAGAATTCGCCCTTCTCCATATCATCCAGACCGCCTCTGGGGTCCAATCAACCTCCTATCCAATGGGTATTGGGGGCTTTTTACCCAGGGGTAAAGTGCCCAGGGCATGAAGCTGATCACTCACCTCCAGCTAGTGTCAAGGTCAAGAAAATGTGGATCTATACATCCACTACCCCATACACCTTCACGGTATAGTGTTTAATTAGTTAAGCACAGGGACAACTTTACCTTACTTAAGAGGAGGGATGAGGTCTGTTACTACTGATGTCCACTATAACCGAGTGAGGGGTACACATGAAACTGCACCACAGGACACTTAGCCAATACATGTAAGCAAAGCCAAGGCCAAGGCCAAAGCCAAAGCCAAAGCAAGTAAAGGTGCCTGCCTCTGGAGTGAAATAGGTTGCCAGGGAAATCAATTTATTGCCTTCTGAAAATGTGCAATTGCCAAACCCTTGTTTTAATTTTAAAGCACCATGCAAATAAGAAAGGCAATCACATAAGTGAATACAGTACACTTCAGCTCCTCATGATACATAGTTGTATGAGTAAAATCAAAGTACGATAAAATAAAATTAAATAAAAGTAATATAGGAAGTGTACAGCATTCTCCCTTCACTAATAACAACTTACACGAAGAGGTGCAGGATAAAGACCACCACTCAACTTCAGGACCTGTTTCTTTGCTCGGTCAAATATCTGATTCCTGACCCAATTAAAGGTAAGCCCAAACTCCAACAAGGTCTGCACAAGAGGCTTCTTCTTCCTGTCCACTTTGAGTTTTCCACTTGCAATCTCTTTCGCAATACCTACAGACACTTCCTCCAAGTACTGCAGTGTTCTGTACAACACAAACATACAGCAATATCATATCTATGGTCTTTCACAATCTCTGACACCAAGATGATTTCCTATTCTGCATTTTGGAATTATACTAAAACTAGCATAAAGCCCCATGGGATATGAGTCTCTCACAGCAGTGAGCGTTAAGATACGGTCTTCTAAAATGTGATGCTGTGTAGTTTGGAGATAGGTACCAATGTTTTGCTTTTTGCTTTCAGAATGTCTCAAGCCTCGCCCAGAGATCCTTTACGGGAGGCCTACTCTGCCCCTTCTTGTACTGAGCAGATGGAAGCAGCAGGTCCCATCAAAATGATGTACCTGTTTTCCAAATTACAGTGTCAAATTCAAAACCATAATCCTAGCATACCACCCACTGAAATTTCAAAGTGAAATTGTTAAAAACTAAATTCGTCAAAGTATGTTGAAATCTCAATTTGGTGTTCCTGCATTGAATAAATATTTTCACTGGCCCTAGTGGATACCAAACACAAACAATATTGTTAAAAACTAAATTCGTCAAAGTATGTTGAAATCTCAATCTGGTGTTCCTGCATTGAATAAATATTTTCACTGGCCCTAGTGGATACCAAACACAAACAATGCATTACTTCCCCATATTTAGTGAATTTTGAGAAACTGTGGTTGATAATCAACATTCATGTCTTCTCTCTGCTAGAAATCAGTCCCACATGACAACTGTGTTTACTTCATATGTCAATAAATGTTTTATAAATGAATTTTAGAGGGGCTATGCTACAAGACAGAAGGTCGCGGGTTCAAGTCCTGATGAGGTCATTGGATTTTTTCAATTGACCTATTCCTTCCAGGCACACTAGGCCCTCAGCCTCTAACAGAAATGAATACCAGGAATTAATTAAATAATTTTCCTGAGGAGTAAAGCACGGCCGGCGCGTAAGGCTGACAACCTTACCGTCATCTTTGAGCCGATTGTCTAGATAGTGTGGGACCTCCCAACGTCTCACAACCCTATGGGCCTTCACGGTCTGGTACAGGGATAGCTTTACTTATACTTTAATAATATAATTATATGAATGTACAAAGAGTCTGCCTACTATCTTATGTCATGGTTTCTTGAAACAAGGGTAACAACCTGCTTTAAGGGGGTCATTGAGCTCTCAAGAATGATTTCAAATATGGTTGACTCCAGCCATAGTTCTGGGAGGTTAAGTAAGTAACATTTAATACAGGTGAGTCTGGAAAGCATATCTGCAGTTGGTGGAACATTTCATGAACTTTTCATGACTGTACAGGAATATCTTATGGTTTACTGTACGTGCACAGAGGTTGTAAAAGTTACTTAGGTTACTGCTGTGACCACAGTCTGACAGGGACCTGCAGCAACATGAACAGCTGCACTCTTCACTAACCAGTAGTGCTGGTGGTCATGTAAACTTATGAACTATATTATATGAGACTGCTATATCATGAAGTTTCAGAACCTTAACCTTATGTAAACAAACTGTTTTATCATAATTATATGCAGTCCTACAAGAAGATGAACATTCCCTACATAATACTGCACCACCATTTATTGCAACCTTGATTTCATACAAGAAAAGCTATTTCACAAATTCATTCATTAAACAGGGATTTCACTGTGACTCGATAAGTTCTAGGAAGACTTACATTTATGCTACTATAGTGAACCAGACAGATTAACAATATGCACTAAGCATTGATGCTGAGAAATTATTAGAGCAAAGGTTGACACTGTAATACAGATTCAAGCAGTGCTTCCCCCTGCTGCCACTATTGGCAAGATACCTAACAAACAAACAAACATGACAGAAGAGCATGCTTAGCCTCTTATGCAGGGTGGTTCAAATGTCTTGCATCATAACTGTTAGATGATATACACTAAGTGACTAATAAACAATATATGTTCAAACTGATGTACTTCGGCCCATATGGACTTCCTGAACCAGTGCATGCAAGAGATGAACTGTTTGCAACACTGCAGCACATTAAATGTTATCTTGTCCTTCAGCTCATCAATATTTCTCTGTGTACTGACTTGAACAACAGTTTTCAGGTGTCCCCAAATAAAACAATCACGGGATGTGAGCTCCAGGGACTGGGCTGAGCATTAAACTGCAGCACAACAATCACAAAGTGAGAGGGAGGGGCCCATCTGGGTGTTTTTTATTAAATTTATTTGCATTAGCACACTGGGAAAGTTCAGGCCTTCCACATATAAAAATCAGCTCCACTTCATGTTCAGTAGTTAGTGACTGATCCATTTCAATATCTCACTTATAAAGAGAAACTTCTATGATGCACCACTAGCAGGACAATTCTTAGTATTTAATCAGGGAGAAATGAACAGCAGGGTAAAGACCAGTGAAACTCTAACTCAGGGCAGAGGACTGGAAAAAGGTGTGTGAAACCCTTGCCATATTTATTTCCAGATTTTACTCCAATAAACTTTTACCCATGAGGCCACATACCACAAGTGATACGTGTTGATATCAACTAACAGAGACAATTACAAATGAAGCATCAGCGAAATTTTTCAGTCTTAATTCCGAATGTTCTCATTTGGTCAGTTGGATGTGAAGAATGATGAATGGACCTCACAATTACTTCCTTAACATCGGTAAACACCAACAGTGTCTCTTCTGTTTCGCGTTTCACTCATACTGTAGCATTAACTGCTACAGAATAAGTCAATCTAAAAATGGCACAAGAATACTGTTTATTATGAAATACAAATTAAAAAAACTGCTACAAAGCCCAGAATCTCTATGACTAGAGTAAGTTGTTCTATGGCTTTGCTTCCAGTGGTGACACACATATAACACCAAATTTTCCTTGTTTTCTTATCCTTTTATGTTCCTCTTCTTTTAAGACTGTCATTACTCTATTTGCTCAATGTAATAACCTACCTTCGATACCTCATCTTGTCACACACGCCAAGGAAACTGGCAACTGCAATGCAACCGCAATTTCCTAGAATTTCTATCAGCCTGAGTTGAACATATGTTACTGAATGGAGCAGCATAAATTGAGGTAACGGCAATGCAGTTTCCTCAATTTGTGCTGCTCCATTCAGTAACATATGTTCAACTCAGGCTGATAGCAATTCTCGGAAACTGCAGTTGTGTTGTGGTTGCCAGTTTCCTTGGTGTGTCTTGCCCTTAGGCTAGTAAGCTCCAAAGAGCTATTAACAGTTTTATTTTGTCCATGTTATCACAGTGATAAGAGTGAGTTTCTAGGAAACAGCCAATGCTACTTTATTAATATGCACAATGCTCAGGAGCAAAGAACAAAAACCTGTTTTGAATGTTTTTAACGCAGTACAGTAAAAATAAAAAACCAAGAGAAATATAACCTGTACAGCAAGAAAGAGTGGTGAAGCAATAGGCATTTTGAAAGCTTCAGTTTGTGGAAGGGATGTCTGCAATAAGCTGTAGAGGCTAATTATATACTTAAATTTCTTCGCACAAGAGCAAATCAGATTGACAATAAGGTCAGAGGCATGTTTTAAATGTTGCTATAGGTTTTACTTATAATATATATTGTGCCTGGCAAGGATGTACTGTCATGCCATCTGTTGGAACACGCTTGGCACAGCAGAAATTCAAACATCAAAGAAATCAGAGACACTAACTGGTTTCTTACCACCTTCTAAACATTTTCTTAATTCAGTCAGCAAGGCTAACTGCTGGACACTCTCACCTCTTCTCAGGAATGTCTAGACCAGGTCCCAGGGGTGGAATTAGCACATCTACTAGGCCAAGCCTTTTGGCTCTGTCAGCTGGTACAGTGCGACCAGTCAGAGCCATGTCTAAAGCACTAGGAACAGTAATTAGGCGTGGTAATCGCTGGGTTCCCCCTGCACCTGGCAACAGTCCAAGCATTACTTCTGGGAGACCCAATCCTGTTTTTCGATCTTTGACTGCAATTCTGTAATGACATGCTAAAGCAACCTGGAAAACAAAATATTTGCTCATCATAAAAACAACACTTTCTCTATGCGTAACATTTCCAAACAGTTACCTAGCAGACTGTAAATTAAAATACAGAAGTCCAGTTTGTTACTATACTGCAGCCCTCCTACTTATGCCCCTCATCAGGTTACCCTCCATATATGATTGACTCATTTTTATTCAATGTTAAGTCTAAGCAAGTAAAAAAGTAAAGCTATCCCTGTACCAGGCCGTGAAGGCCCACAGGGTTGTGAGACGTTGAGGGTCCCACACTATCTAAACAATCAGCTAAAAGATTGCAGTAAGGTTGTCAGCCTTACGTGCCGGCCGCGCTTTACTCCCAAGGAAAATTATTTAATTAATTCCTGGTACTCATTTCTGTTAGAGGCCGAGTAAACCCCAGGGCCTAGTGTGGCTGGAAGGATTAGGTCAACTGAAAAAATCCAATGACCTCATTGTGATTTGAACCCGCGACCTTCCGGCTTGTAGTGTAGCACCTCAACCACTATGCTACCATGTGCCCCTGTTAAGTCTAAGCACAGTGATAAAATGAAATAGTGTTGATAATGGGCCTTTTTAGATAAAATACTTCTGTAAAAAAACTGCTGAGTAAATGTGACTGAAAATATGCTGGCATGCCCAGTGCAGTGTACAAAAGCCTAGCTGTAGGTGGGACAATAATATTATAATTGATCTTAGAGAAACAGGATGGGGTTGTATGGACTGAATTCATATGGCTCAGGGTATAGGGACAAGTGGAGGGCTCTTGTGAACACAGTAATAAACTTTAAAATTCTGTAAGATGTAGGGAAATTCTTGAGTAGCTGAGTGACCGGCAGCTTCTCAAGGACTCATCTCCATGTAGTTAGTTATCACTTCATGTAAAACAACACCATCAATGGAAAAGTTTTGTAGAGGGCCTGAATCGGGACAAAATGAAGACAATAAAAGCAACTTACTCTGCTTCAAGTGACTCCATGACTGCACACTCATCCTATCTTAGTCTCTGTTACTATCAGTTTTATGACCTTTCTTTTATGATTCTTGATCACGATGTTAGGATGATGATAAGAAGGCCACTTAATATGAACACATAAAGCTTCTAAAAGGGGGGGGGGGCAAATAATCCCCAACTGCATCCACCAGAAATACTAACTTGTTTTGTATTTATTACCTCAAGGCCACCTCCTAAACATGAGCCCATAATGGCTGCTACAATAGGTTTCTTGCTCCTTTCAATCAATCCCAAAATATTCTGCCCTATGCGAGACACAGACGTTACTTCTTCAACAGTCTTTAAAGATTCCAGCATTCCAATGTCAGCACCAGCGATAAAACAACCTGGCTTCCCCGAGATGAGAACAGCAGCCTGAACATTTGGATCAGCCTCAACCCTGTTCAGCAGTTGCTTCATTTCATCCATAACATCTGCACCCAGTGTGTTCACCTAGCAGAAACAAAAAATCAACTAGATTATGAGCTCTGGATTTCTGAATTTCTAAGCTTCATCCACTATCTAATAATTACAAAAATCACATATTTTAGAAACTGGATCTGTTTCTGTCCTCAGGTGAGAGAACTGAGAAGACACTCAGATGGGCCCATTAGACAGAGCCAATATCAATCACTGGTTGAACATAATACAACATTGTCAGAACTCTTTAGGCTATGAACTATGTCGTCACATTCAGATTCAATTCCCCAATGTGTGAAAAAACCTCAATAAAAGTGCTGGCATTTTTATTGCACAAAACTATATACATGCAATACTCAGATGCACAATAACATCTTTACCATAAAGATGCTGATAATAGTATGCACCTCACCTTCGAGCCAGGTGTATCCAGTACTATAACACATACATTTTCATTAGTTTTGCACCTTAAGTGTTTCACTGGGGTACTTGTAGAAGTTGTGGCTTGTTCTGCAGCCTGAGTGGGTGTCTTAGTAACTGTTGCTGCTGTAGCATATAACCTATGAATCTGAGGAGCTAGAAGAAAAGAATTTCCACTCACAACTGTGTAAAAGCACACTGTGACAATTCATCACATCACAGAACACTCACTACACTATATCCATAAATATGACTACGATTAAAGAAAACGTCAAATTATAGTATCTGCTATTAATTCCCCTAACCTCTTTTATCACTACAGGTTGTGATGTGCCACACCCTATTATGCATTTTTCACTACTTCGTTAAGAATAAATATGATTAGAATATCTGATCTGTTTCAATTATAGTAATCAGTCATTTGAATATATATTATTCTTGGAATTTTAGCGTCAATACAAAAAAAAAGACAATAATAAAAGTGGGGGATAGCTTTCCTGTCCCCTAACACTAGTATGTATGGAGAAACTGGAAATTAATCACTCTGCAGCTGTCAAAAACAAGATAAGCCTAACAAATTATTTTCTTTATCTTTTTCACAATTCTAAGGGTGAACTTAAGTTGTTAATTACACTTACTCTTACATTAAAAAAAATATATCAGGAATGAGTTGGCAAGTTATTTGCAAAGCCTGAATTTTCAACCGATTTAAAAGCAGTAATAACATTATAATTCTGCAAAGGAGTTGCGTGATGGAAAATACTGACGTACCTCGATATCGTAACATATTTACGTTCACTTTCGAAATACGAATTAAAGCTCCCAAACACTGGAACATCGCCATTATCTTAAGAGCAACGACACTAACGGCAGTAAGTCAAGCCGGTGAAGCCTCCAGTCGATCTAGAAAGTTTCGTAAGAATTAAACTCATACGTAATATGTGCATATGTTGTTTATTTTATCGTTTAGCTTTGTTTCATTGCGAAAAATAATTTTCGAAACGTTCTGAGTTTATTCTAATCCAAATTTTAGCTTCATATACAATACACATATAACTACACTTCGCACCGCGCCCTCATTTTCACTATGTTCACTATTCCACTATTATCCAATAAGCGCTGTCAGCAGCGGCAGAATAGTCAGAACAGTCAGAAGCCTGATCAGGTTTTATGGAAGGTTAAAGTACGAGGCTTTGAGTAATTGATAATGTCGCAGACTAAGGAAAATGAATATCAATAATTTGATTTGCCAATATTTTTAAAATTTCGATTGTATAAAGTAAACTGAAAAAGTTACGGCTATCCAGAACATTTTATTCAGCGATTTTGCTCTTGTAACTGTTGACCTAAAATTTTTTGTATATACGTACGAATGAAAGTCGTTCGTAGTGAAATTGTCGAAACGAATAGAAATTCATGCCTGCATAGGAGCTAGTCACATCCCACATAGTGTAAATGGGATCGAAACGTACATATGATTATTAACCGTAAAAGGTGATGCGCTATAATCGAAGACAATACAGTGCACGCAGTTCGGCCCTAACATTGTACTAATGTTGTCCATTATGAAAAACCAGGATTAGAAACTTATGTGTATATATTTTTTCTTTCAGGGATTAGCAGATAAACCGGATTGTTTAGATGGCCTCTGTTAAAGTTCCTGAACAGAAAGTTATATTGTGTGGTGAATTTGGTGTTGGAAAAAGTTCCTTATTTCGTCGTTATGCCACGAATTCGTTTGTTACTGCTACAGATAGACAGTCTACTTTAGGACTGGATCATTTTGATAAGGAATACAAAGTGGGAGGGAAGGAAATACGGGTAAGAAACAAAGTGTAGCATGGTGTGTTGTATGGATTGCAGTTACATGTTGTGCAACGCATGGTGTACCACAAGCATTTCCTGCATGTCCGAACTTCGGTTTGCTGCATCGAGTTTAATATAGGATACAATGTAACAATGTTCTGTCATAGTTGCAGTTGTGGGACACAGGGGGCATGGAAAGAGTTGCTTCTATTACATCAAGTTACTACAAGTTTGCTGAGGCAGCTATTTTAGTGTTTTCACTTGACAACCCAGCATCTTTCCATGTGCTTTCTCAGCACCTACTGGACATTGTAACATATGCTGAGAATGCAAAGATATTTCTGTGTGGAAATAAGGTTGATCTTGAAGGTCAGACACCTCAAGTTACAGAAAGTGACATGGAGAACTTTTGGTAAGAGAATGAATATTTTTTTTTGTTACATCTTGTAAATTACAAATTGTATACTCCATTCAGTTTCTCATTACTTCATGCTCATTTTGAAAAAGCTCTAATAGTGATATATCAACTAACTGCAAGATGGATTCACCCAAACTTTGTTTTCATCCTTCCAGTTGTTTCATGAAAGAATTCCTTGCAACAAATTGATTGAAAGATTTTGTGGTTCTTACATCGAAGAATGTAAAACAATAGCTGCAGAACTTTCATATCTTGGTGATCTCCACATGTAGTAGTAAATTTCAAGGTTCAGATTTCACTTGCTGAATGTGTACATATATGTCCTAGTAAGCACATGACTTCCATAACACAGCAGTTTTTTAATCAGCATTAATACTGTTTGCTGTTATATTGTATAAGGAACTATGTATTGCAATTTCAGTGAGCAGTGTCACAACCTTATTAGTGCCACATACAAGACATCATGTAAGACAGGCCAAGGTGTTGAAGAAATGTTTGCAGACATAGCTCATCACTTGGTGGAGTCCAACAGATCACGTCTTGAACTACAAGCAATAGATAAGGAATCTTTCAAGATCACCCCACCAGACGAGGCCACAGAGCCTACCTGCCTGTGCTAACATTTCTCCTAGAATATCCAGCGCAGATACTGATGAATCCAAGCAAAGGTTTTTCATTTTCTGAACATCTTTCATCATTAATTTGTTACAGAATTGTAAATGCAAGACTTGCCTTAACAAACACTGGTTAAAACAGATTGATCGTAGTCAGTCCAGAAATCAAATCTGAATTCCTGCATCTCAGAAACTGCAGCACTTTAAATTTTGATATTTTTCACATGATAAATTTTAAAATAAAATTTGTAGAAAGTTTGTAATTTATCATTTCCCAAACCTAACAAACAAAAGGGTCTCATGGACCTGAAAAAATGACTACGCACACATGCACAAAATAAAGACCCTTTACATATATGAAAGTTCTTTTAGAGGCTTCACATAAAACTCAGTGAACTGGATTTCTTTGCAATTTTGTACTTATACACAATTTTTTTATGTACCTTAAAGAAATAAATCTTATGAATACTAGTATATTTACACTTTTAAATTAGTTTGATTGAAATGTTATGCCATGCCATTCCATTCCATCTGTTTATGTCATAATTTGTAGCTATACAGGGTGTATCAAAACTGAACAAAAAAAACTTCAGGAATGGACTCCTCATATAGAGAGAAGAAAAGTGTTATGACAACATGGGTATGGAAATGCATAGTTACAGTTATCCGAGCGTGTAATTTACGGAGTGCACTCCGACACAAATAAATAAAAATAATAAAAATGCGAGACACTGGTTACAATTGTTACACAAGTAATCATGTTGTGAATCAATTTGATGTTGGCCTGAATACCTCTAGGACATGCAGATGATATCCCGTCATCTCCAGTTAAGTAGCTGTAGCCATATCTGAAAGGTGTGTATGACGTCTGTTATTTGTGACTATTAAGTGTTGTTTGCAGTCTGCTATGAAGCGATACATAATGTACACAAATGAAGAACTTGCAAGCATGCATTACATGTATGGTTTGGCGGATGGTAATGCTTTGGAGGCACGTCGCTTGTATCAGGAACGCTACCCAATGTGCAGATTGCCAGACCAAAAGACATTTGCAGGAATCCACTGCCACCTATGCAAACATGGGAGTTTCGCACGTCCACCAGGCACAGGGGGACGCCCAAGAAGTACAACCCCTGAGGACAAGGAAGATGTACTCAATGCTGTGGATCAAAGTCCTGGAGTGAGCACAAGGCAATTAGGCCTGCAGAAGAATATCCCGCATATGACGATCTGGAGACTGCTACAAGAACAGCTCCTGTATCCATATCATGTACAAGCCTTGTCTCCTGTGGATTATCCTGCAAGAGTAATGTTCTGCTGGTGCCTCCTGCAACAATGTGGTGTGACGCCTAACTTCGCAGCTGTTGTGTTGTTCACAGATGAGGCTACATTCACAAACGAAATCCAAAATTTCATAATCAGCACGTGTGGGCAGACACAAATCCCTGTGCAACTATCCCATCGTCTCACCATTAACATCTAGGCACGCACTGTTCGTGATCGTTTGTTGGGACCCTATGTTCTTCCAGACAAGCTTAATGGACAGAATTACACAGATTTCTTGCATACTACATTGGCTGATTACTTGGAAGACATGCTACTAGCATCCTGTTGACAGCTGTACTTCATGCATGATGGTGCTCCTGCACATTTCAGTCTGTCTGCACACAGGCACCTTAATGCACATTATCCTGGGCGCTGGATAGGTAGAGGTGGACTGACTGCTTGGCGACTATGCTCTCCTGACTTAAATCCCCTGGACTTTTACCAGTGGGGACACTTAAAGTCTGTCGTGTATTTGACTGCTGTTGCTGATGTACCAACTCTCCATGTGCGCATTGTGGCAGCCTGTCAGACAGTACGCACTACACCGGGCATTTCTGATTGCGTGCGGCACTCAATGCGACGACGAGCGGAGGCCTGTATTCAGGCAGGAGGAGGTCACTTTGAACATTTCCTCTCATGTGTGACCAGTGTGTTCCAGCTGGCATTACAGACATATTCAGTGTAACAGTGCAACAGTGTTGGATTGCACTAACGTTACTAAAAGGTCGGATAACTCTGTATGCACTTCCGGAACCATGTTGTCATACACATTTTTTCTTCTCTCTATATGAGGAGTCCATTCCTGAAGTTTTGTCGTTGAGTTTTGATACACCCTGTATAAAAAGAGCATTCTATACATGAAATAGTTATGGAGGGGACTAAAAATATCATCATGCACATTCTCATATTTTGAATAACAGGCAAACAGAAAGAAACAACAAAATAGTGAACATCTGGAGGGCTCCTAAAGGTGGGGAGTTTCTTGGATATATTATAATCTTATGTTTCCACAGTTATTAGAATGCATATTTTATGAATATATTTATTCTTATTTCACTATAGGATATTGAACGCTCTATTCTTCATGTTAATGAAACAGAGGCTCTTCAAACAGGACATTTTGTACAATATATTAGACTTTATTAAACATGATCATACTACCAGTATTGCTGTAAACACATGACTTATCCTATCTAAAACTGTTTGTTGTTGCAGATTTTCATGAGATTACAGAGCAGTACTGTCATTAGACAAACAAGAATGGACCATCCATATGGCTGCTGGCCTAATTAGGCACAGCACAGTCTAGATCAGTGGTCCTCAACTTTTGTCAGACAATGGCCCAGTAAATTCTTTTTTATATAAACCAAGGAACCGGTACCGGGCCGCAGCCCAGCGGTTGAGAAACAGTGGTCCAGACAGATGTGTTACTTCAGAAAACACACATCACATCTAGTGTTAAAAGAGGAGAGATGAGAGCTTTGTACAACTTTACTAATGTGCAATGTGACTTTTAACTTCTTGACATGGTGCATGCATGGCTGTTAGCTGATGATGGACGCGACTGAATCAACAGAGTGCATCGCAGTAGCCTACTTTTGAATCTTGTCTTCATATTGTAATGACATAATGAGGTCTGAGAACAAAAGAAATGTTTTTCATGTGTAAAATGAGCAATTTTTTAAGCATGTCTGAAAGTACAGCATTCCTTTGCTGACTGTTTTGCCAACAATGGTATTTGAGTTTACGTATGTGCAGTTTTAATTGCCTACACATGAGAAAAGACTGCTACTGGCTGCATCAAGAGATTAACATTTTTGGGGGTGTGGGGGGGTAGTGTAATAGCATGCAAAGCTGGTTCTTTTGATATCTCGCTGTATTGTGTCTTTTTTGTGACACAATTTTATATTATTATTGTGTAGATTTAAATGCTTTATAACAGATCTTTGTGGCCAGTGAAGGAACAGGTGCAATTCCCTGAAGTTTTGACGAGCATTAAAAGAAAGTGCAGGTCCCCTAACCTCCATTATCCCATAAGGGCTTAGTCTTGCCAGTTGTGTTTTTCAGGGGCATAATCCATGCAGTCAGTGAAGGATTGCCGTACTAGAAAAGAATATGCAGGATCTAATTTTTTTTTGTACAGATAACTGATAATTTTAAATATGCAGCATGGTGATGTATATGTAAAATCAATTTGTCTTTACAGACTTGGAATAATTTCCTTATAATACTTCTTATAGTTGCATATGCTGTAACAGTACTAAATGTGCTTAATATCATTAGATTAATAACAACGAAGAAGAGAATTTAAGATGCTTGCAGATACCACAGTTGAACTCATTTTAAAATATGTGCTGCTGAATAATATTTGGGCTTTATGTATTATCATGATATTAAAGCCACAACCTTTGTGTTATTATATTGTATATTTCGTTATTAAATACAACAGCAACTGCCAAGATGACTATAAAGTTATTTAATTTAATATTGTGGCATGTAGACAATATCTTGCAGAACTTTTGTATAAATGGGTACAGAAGTAAACCCAGATGTGAGAAGAAATAACACAGTAAGGTAATTCACATATGTCCATATGAGTACAGAGTACATCCTCATTTAATTCAATGCTGTGACCATTTTATTGACTTGAGATCGATTCCTTCCTGCACCATCTCCCACAACGGGCTGAAATAAATGCATACAAATTATTAATAATACATATATAAACCAGAAGTGAAATAAAAAAATTAAAATTCTGTTGACTTACAAAACACAACTGTTTGTAGAATGAGGAAGTAAATTTTCCCTTGCATTTACTGTCTGGACAGTAAAAACCTAACCAGTAATGTGACAAAATTTATGAACTCATATTTGTTCCAAAAGCATGTTACAAAATCTTCTAATTAGGGAGTTAAAGTAATGATATTATATTTAAGCATCCTGTTGCATTTATAAATTGTCACGTGTTGGGTGTATAACGCAACAAATAACTTTACGCCATATTGGATATAGCGAATTTTATTTCACATTCGCCATTACAATCTCACAATTACATCCATTGTTTCCATTCACTTCGGGAAATGCTAGACTTGCAACTGTCTTCGGCGGCTGCTATATTTCAACTAACTGGTTATTCTCTCTCTAAGAATTGGTTCACGAAACACTCACTAATCACTACTGAATAGGGTTCACTGCTCCTTATTTAGCCTTGGCATGGACAACAAAGAAAACAGTTACGTGATAGGTACCACTGTTGCCTGACGCCGTGTTTAGAGGTTGCCTAGCAACACTGTCAAGAGTTGTTTACTGCTGTGTAGTAACCGCGGTATCCCTTGTTACGTCATCACGGAAATGGTTGCCTGACACAGTTGCTCTTCTGTTATGTCACCACGGGGGAGGGGGTGTTTACCGAGCATTGCAAACTGATGGAAGGTGTGGGGGTATGTGACATCACTCGCGAGACCGCAGAATTCATGTGACCCCTACTTCCCGTGGCGCCATCCACGTCACACTGTTCCCTTCTAAAGGTTGTTCGTCCCGAACAGCCTAATGGTACATCCCCGTTCCTTTTCCTTCCTGTTGTCCGTTCTCCAACCACTACATCCGCATCTTCTCTAAGACCAGCTCAACTCGAGCGGTTTCCTGCTAATGTGCCAGAAGATCCAGTTGTATCAGATTCACTCCTCACTTCCATCCATCGCACATTCACTCTCTTTGGGGGAGGCCGGCACTTCTACATTACCGGTTCCACAGTCATGTGTACCATCCTACACACAACATTTTGGTGTCAGAAGTTGACGGCTTGGATCGTATTGGATTTTTCAGCAGCGGTTACGACCATAAATACATGACAATTTGGTGTCACTAGTCATGCAGCCATAAACTCGTGACAACTGGTGTGAGAAATGTTCAACTCACCACAAAGTTTCACCAAAATTTTATTACTGAAGTAAAACAGTAGCTTCTTGACAACCTATTAACTCATATAATTCTGTTCCAAAATATTGTTTAAAAGGCAATGCTTATTTACAGTGGCAAGAGGGGGACTGTCAGAGCTTATATGATAGAATTCTATATTACAGAAGCAAATACTGTAAGTATGCAAAAACATACTCACCTCATCTCTCTTAGCTTTTTTACATTTTTGATACAATGATCAGCAGTGTAATCCACTTCTGCTATGGTTGTGAACCTGCCAAAGCCAAATCTGATAGATGAGTGTGCCATATCATCATCAGTGCCGATAGCACGCAGTACATACGATGGCTCGAGCGATGCTGAAGTACATGCACTACCACTGGACAGAGCCACATCCTTCAGAGCCATCAGCAATGACTCTCCCTCAACATAGGCAAAGGACAGGTTAATGCAGCCAGGATATGAATTGACAGGATCACCATTACGAACTACATAATCCAAACTGCCAAAGATTTTGTCCAGAAGTCGCTTCGATAGCAGTTCCATCCATTTATGATCATACTGAAAAACATAACAGAAATTGTCCTACTGAACCTCTCAGTGCATAGCATTTTTAATGTTCATTTATGACAGATATAAGGAGACTGTTCTTGTATTTAGATAACCCTTTCAGACCAGTCATCAAAAAGAGTTAAATTTTTAAAACACTTCCGTTTTCTAATTCATAAATGGTACAAAGGTAAAATTTCCTGCATACTTGTGGTAGAAAAACACAAGAAAAGAGCACTCACATGGCACTACTTACAGATATGTTGTTGAGAGATACAAGTCTTCCTCAGTATTTTGTGAAATGTCATGGTACATAAAAATATTTCAAATAAAAGATGCAGACTTTGATGAGACCTAAACTATGCTAGTGTCTCCATTTATGAGAAAACTTTGAAGCTCAATTTGAATATTATGTAACGCAGGTATTACACTCTGCCAACATGGACCAAACTAAATTTCTCCAGCTTTCAGTTTGCAAATGAGAATGAAATGATAAAATTCTTTATAGAAAGCAGCCTTGATCTCAGTTCTCTGGGTTCTATGTACGAACCACCATAAATGTGGACAATCATTTCAGCTTGCAAGCTATTCAAGATACCCATGCTTCCATGGCTGGTCTGGTTCACTCTGTGCCACTTCCCACTCATGAATTTTCATCCTACAGCCTGCAGAGTAAACACTAAAGATGCCCAACTTATACATTGTCAAAAGGAGGCGTTATTATAATCTGCAACCTGTTCCTTAACATTTAATAAGATTTTGGTTTCTTTACTGCTTTTTACTGTTAACACATTTCATTATGATGAATATATTCTGTCAATAAATGAGTGCTTCTTAATGATACTTCAGTGTAGTAGACCTATAATAATGTGTGCGTGTGTTTATAAAGTGGACCATTGGCATACATTTTTACTGCTGGTCAAGAACATATTTTTTTCTTTCAACCTACTTACTTGTATGTAAATGTCAGGAGATACAGTGAAGGTTAACTACATTACATTTCATTTAGTACAGAACCAGAATGTCTGATTTCCTAAAATCTTTAAATAGTTTTATGCTGAAATTCTCACATCCATCTCCTGTTTGCATATGCTACAGGCAGCACCCAAACCAACAGCAAGAGGTGACGGTACTGTGCCACTTCTCAAGCCACGCTCCTGACCACCTCCATTTATGATTGGGTCTAGACGTACTCTAGGTCGTTTGCGAACATACAGAGCACCCACACCTATTGAACAATAACAGAATCAAGAAGTTCACCACAAAGAAATGAAATACAATTCTTATACATTCTGTCTCTTTAATCTTTACTCTCTTCCTGTTAGGAAGGTAGAGCTGGTGATTACTAAGAACATATTTGTAAATTATAAATAACGATTTTAGAGACATAAAGTGTTCATATACTTCTGGTGCCTGAAATTTGACTGACATTCATTCCTTCATATTCACTGAATAATAATGTTTGCCTTAAGAAGTTACCATTTTGAATGAAGCTGCATACCACAGCTAAAGATATATTTTTTGTTTAAAATATTATTGTCATGATTTATGGGTGACTATAGATGGGGTCTGAATTGGTGAATGGGTTTATTGACCACTTATACACATGACCCAGAGCAACAAGCAATTGCAGCGCCATCGCTAATCTCCACAATTCACAAAGCACCACAGCACTGGCTTAGCATTTTCCAGCCTGCTGTGTCTTCACCAGCTGTTACCTGGCAATGGTTTCTAGCAGTGGAGATTCTTCAGCTTCCATGCTCAGGTCAGAGACACAGTCCTTGGAACTGCACAGGTGAAAGGCACTGCTGATAATTGTTCAACGTCTTAAGTGTTACAAACCCAAACGTTATTCATCATAACAAAAACTTGGCATTGGTCTGCCTATCCTAGTCAACCTTAATTCAGCCTACAGGTAGCAAGCAGAGTTCTGCTTGCAAGCTGCTTCATGTGTATTTCATCCTGGGCTTATACTTCAGCCCAGAAAATGCAGGCAACATGCTCCTCCAAAATGCCTGTTACCTTTCAACGGACTATATGGTGTTATATCTCGGAAGACAGAACTCTTCAAAACAACAGTCTCAACCTCAAACCCCACAATAAACTTTCCTGATTGTGAAGTAACAGGATATAAAGTGATATTTATAAGACAGACAGACCTGAACATATCACATGCTTACATTTTGTTAGAAGAAGGAAGATATGCAAAATGCAGAGTGAATATAATTTCTGGACTTCTTTTGGCTTCTTTGGACTTCATCCATCGTCTGGTATGTAAAAGACAAAAGACAAAAGAAAAAAGTCTTTTACATACCAGACGATGGATGAAGTCCAAAATAAGTATAGTATACACCATCGTCAGAATCCTTTCAAGTCTATCATAATTTCTGGAGTTTAGAAGCAACTACATATGACAGCTGAACCAAACACACTGATGCCATATAGTCTGGTAAAAGCAAACTTATACCACACCTTATTCACAGCCACTGTCATGAAAACCTCAGATCAAACCAAACAATGTTTACCTTTGGGTCCGTAGATCTTATGGCCACTAATAGACATGAGATCAATATTCAGACTGTTGACATCAATATGAACCTTGCCTACTGCTTGGGCTGCATCTGTATGAAAAAAGATGTTCCTGGACCTGCATAATTCTCCTATAACAAATTAAATGACAGACATTTTCCAGCATACTTAAAAAATCAGCTCCAATAATATTTAAATAAAAATAAATATAAAATTGCCATTAGGTGTATTCAATTTTTTAATGATAAAATAATTCTAGAGCACAACATATTTCAGCTTCAACTGGCCATTTTGCTTCTATAATTTACATGAAATATTTTATATAATCTATGTAAGGCAACTGATTGTGTTAAAGGAAGAATTCAAGCTGGAAACAGGGCCTACTTCGCAAATCCTAGTGAACTTAAAAGTAAAATATCATCAAGAGCAGCTAATCTATAAGCACACAAAACATTAATAAGACCTGTTGCTACATACAGGGCAGAAACATGGACCTTAACAGTAACAGAAGAGAATGCACTGAGAAAAAAATACATAAAATATATAGACCAGTGATGGAAAATAACGTTTGGAGGATAAAATACAATGAAGAAATAAACACATTACTGAAAGGAGAAGATATAGTAAGATTTATCAAGTCACAGAGAATAAGAAGGTTGAGACATGTCAAAAGAATGGAAGATAATGCAATGCCAAAGAGAATGTTAAAATGAAGGCCATATTCCAAAAGAAGAAAAGGCAGATCCAGGATGAGAAAGAGCTAGTCTCAATCACTGGTCAATGTTCCTTGCAATGGAGGGGGTGAGACTGAGTCCACCTGGTGCACTGGCCACTATTTGGTCTACTGTACCAGATGCAGATGATAGATGATGATAAGTCTGGTGCAGTTGGAATAAGAATTGGCAGGGTAAACCGAAGTACTCAGACAAAACCTACCCCAGTACCACTTTGTCCACCGCAAATTCCTCATGATCTGTACTGGGATCAAACTGCAGTGGAAAGCCAGCAACTAACTGTCTGAGCTATGGCATGGCCTCCTTATAATGTGACTTTCTCGATTCCTCAGTAAACTCACTTCTATTATAGCCAGTCTACTTAACTTTGTTTCTAAATACACAGCATATTTCACTGAATACCTGGTACTTATTTAATGAAAAACTTGTGCATGTGATTTAAATGAAGATTTATGAAAATGAGCTATTATGGGAGGTACGACTGCTAGCTGACCTATTCATAAAAGTGAAACAGTAGCTCTGAAAAACTGGAACAGGCTGTATATGGGGTTAGAAGACACAAAATATCTCATTCTTCACTTAAATTGACAACATTCCATACAATCTTTCAACAAACATCATCCAAATAATGAATGTTCACACCTATTTGCCTAATTGGTTGTCGAACACCAATCTCATTGTTGACGAACATGATGGTGACGAGAGCAGTATCGGGCTGAATGGCTTTCTCTAATTCCTCCAGGTTGATCAGTCCCATGTTATTGACAGGTAGATATGTCACCTTAAAGCCTTCTCCTTCAAGTTGGCGACAAGAAGCTAATACACATTTATGTTCCTGAAATAAGTCATATAATATTAATGATTTAAGAATGACAAATATGAACAATTCTCTGAAAGCCTGTGACAATGGTTCATTCACTACACCAGGCATGTCCAACTTCAAACAGGTTGTGATCAACGTTTTAGTGTCAAAACCGCAAGTGATCTACCACCGCCTCCTATCGCCATACCTCGCTTTAAGCAAAAATATTAGTAAAAATAACACGACACATGATGTTTGTTGTAAAAGCAGTTAGTAACTGGGCTGTGTCTCTGGTGTCTGTAGATTTATCCAGTTGGAGGGAGAAAGCAACACAACTGGAAACATCTTTCAACAACTGTTCAGTTATGTTTCCAGACATCATTTCTATTTGCCGCATAATGGTGTTTCTTGATAATTGAAGATCTTGAATAGTTGCTATGAGCTCTTTCTTATTTTATATTACAAGTGAATTTACATGCTTTTCACGTATAATTAGCTTTTAAATTATAAAAACACAACCTTCCTTTTTTCTTGAACTCTTACAACATCCCCAAGAATTACATAAGGCTTTACTGTCGCTCTTAGATACATATCAGACCACATAAAATAAATTTTGCAAAACGCAATCACCATCAGTACCATCAATATTGCCATTACAATAATGACTGTCACTGCTTCTATTGCTATCATTGCTTGGTACTGCCAATCATAGCGCGTGTTACCTATGACCCACTGTGTGAGGCTGTATCATATGATTCTTGGACTAAATTTCTGTAGCAAAAACTAAAGTCACACCATTAATTTGATTTAATTTATCGTCTTCAGAGTAGACCCCTCCAAACCAAATATTGTCCTGTCGCATGTTGTTACATTTCTGATGCTCTTTTTGTGGAATGTTGTTGAACCCGTGATGCTTTGGACAATCTCTGGCATTTTACGACATCTCTTTCCTCTTCTGCATAATTCTCAATTTGGGGAACAAGAAGTCATTAGACACTAAATCAAATTAATCTGAATGATAGAGGAAAGATGTGCTTCAGCAGTATTCACTTACACAGGACAGTAAATGACCCAACACACTGCAGCGATGCAACACTAGGAACCCAACTTCCATTTCTGTCTAATCTCTTTATTTTGTAACATCCAAATAAAATGCTTCATTTTGAACATGAAATTTCTGTTTCCCAAGGTATGGCAATGATGGTGGCAGTGGCAGCAGTGGGAGTGGTGGTGGCGATGACAATGATAACAACAATGGACTGCCGGGACTTGAATAATTTTTATGGAAATCAAACAAACAAGACATGCTAATGAGTTTCTTCCTCAAATGCAGATTAAAGTATGGCGGTCTTCTCAAATATTACACAGTTCCTGATGCACAAATGTTCCTCCATAATGCCAGCTACAAGCATTTCACAGTGTGACAACTGTCATGAACACATTTACATAAAATAGTGTTTTACTCACAACTGAGAGAAATCAGTGCCTTCTCTCCAGCTGATATTAAATGAGAAACATCATCTGTGATTTATTGTTCCCATTATGTTTATTACTGATGTAAAATAAAATGAGTTCGGAACTTAGCAACTCTCACAGACAACGAAGGGCACATAGATTATTATACTGTTTAAAAGTACTTACATAATGGACACACTGCTATCTAGATTCGATTTTAATTGTATTCAGTGAAGTAAAACTCCAGAAACATACAAATGATCATCCAAAAAATAAACCTGTCTCACACTTAACCTTTATCATCTGGGAATCTGGGCTTTAAATCTCCTTGCACTACGGCTGTGGCAGCCATATTTTAATTTGTGTTTAACAGTTTGTCAGGGAATAGCAGATTTTGTATCTTCCACTTTGACGTGTCTGGTTGGGGGGGGTAATGATATTAGACATAACAGACGCAGCATTCATCCAGCTGGACCTCACAATGAGTGACTGAATTATGTGCTGCAATGCCAATAAGGCTTAACTGAAAATACAGAAATACTATCCCACTCTGTAAAGTGAGAAGGCTTCACATTATCCACCAGCTACAATAGGACATACTGATCAACATACATACTGTCTGTGTAGTGATAATGTGCTTCTTCCTGACACCATAGAAACGTGCCACACCTTTAATTGCCGTATTGTTTGACTCAGTAGCACCAGATGTGAATATTACTTCAGAAGGCTCACAGTTAATTAGATCTGCAACTTGCTGTGGAAAGAAGTATTAAAATGTATTAGTCCTCATATAAACCATGGTTATCTGGTATACATAATCTCAAATATTCTGCCATCATAAAGTCAGCATTCCAAACAAAAAACACAGGTATGTACTTTTACTATGTCAAATTTTCTAGAATCAGTTACAACGGTTCATTATTTATAGCCATAAAAGTCGGTTGCACCATAGTTGAAGCGGTTAGTTGTTGGCTTCCCACCGCAGCGGCCCAGGTTTGATCCCGCGTCTGGTCAACTGGGATTTGTGGTGGACAAAGTGGTGCTGGGGCGGGTTTTCTCCAAGTACTTTGGTTTCCCCTGCCAATCTTCATTCCACCAAATTCTCCATAATCATAGTCACCCAGGGCAGGTACAATAGGCCAATCTGTGGCCGCTGTGCCGGGTGAACCAAGCTGGACTCCACCCCTCACTAAGAGAATTTTATAGTCATAAAATCAGATATCCCTATTTGTATAGCTGCCGTGTTACTTTCCATTTTCAACAAAACTGTTCTGAAGATTAATTTCCTTACCATATAAGGGTACAAATAACTCTGGCAAGACAAGCACCTATAAATGTACTACTATTACTACTACAATACCACATTGAATGACTCTAGTGCTGACTCTTCAGCAAAGGCTTATTTGAAGGCCTGTTAATGTTGTGAAATACAGAAATTAAAAATGAAACTACAAAATATGATGCCAGATTCAGTTCAGTGATGTAACTATATTGGCCATATGTGACACTGAACTGTTTCAGTGGAATTCAATACAATGATTTTATCAAAGAATGCTTCCCCTTTTACTGGGGGATGTATCCAGTATGCTTTTATACCACCAAATGGTACTTATGTATCCCTACATGCCCCAAGCAACTTCAAAATTTATCACAATACTGTCCACCACAGTAGTGTTGCTAACCTTAGAAGCTTATTTGTAGAAACATGACCTAAGGCCTAATCTTAGAATCTGCTTCCACCAGCAAGATCACAAAGTTAGGCCCTGGGCTGTGTTTTTAAAAATTCATTTGTAAAACCTCCTAAGGTTAGGTTTTGAGGTTTGTTATTACAAATTTCTAAGGTTGGCGATGCTAACATGACAGACATCAAGGTAGTAAAGTTCAAAATTATTTGGGTCATCCATTTGTATGTTAGAATGTTATTATTCAGCTACATTCAGCCACCACTGCCACCAATGCGCTCCTTGTTCGGTGCATTTATTTTGGGATGTGGGTTTCCTAAACTGGGGATTCCTTTTCATAATGGCTGTTTAGGTAGTGGATGCTACTGAGAAGGCTGGAGACACATCGGCAGCCATGTTGGATGGCATCCAATGCCATCTCGCAGCTTGCAGCCTGTTTGACCCTTTGGAGTTTAATATGCTTATTACATTGGGGTGGGGTTTTTGGTTTGGAAACACTGATCAACATCTTGGCAATAAAGTGATGCTGTGCTCTGTAATAAACTGCAAGCATGCCGTAACATACAAGCTCATATGCGAAATGGAATGCTTCCTAGAAATCTTCTGTCTTCCAGATAAATGCAGTTGTGCTAAACTACACTTTATTCCTATGGCTATTACACTGAACATTAAAATTAACTTTAAGCTATACTTGCTGTCAGTGAAATCACTTTATTGAGTAATTATTTTTATTCCCTCTTTCAAGTTATGGGTACAATTTAACTAATCTTCAGTGAAAATTTGCCTAAATTCATCAATGTTTGCCTGGAAGCAAAACCATGAAATATTCTTCAGTCTGGGCAGTCTCAATACTCAAGATTGGGACATTACCAGAGATAATGATCTTGCTGGCCTAATAGCTGTCTACTCACTCACTGCTAACTAGCGTCACCCAGCAGCAGCAAGACACCTGTCTTGACATTTGGCTGTCAAGTGTTTTGTATCTGCTTAGTGACATGATGTTTAAACAAAATGGATGTTCTGATGTATAATAAACTTAAAATTATTCATTACAGCTGATTACTTAACTTGACCTAATCTAACTCCAAAGCTTAATGTACAGTTTATCTTATATTATAAATATCAGTATGTATGTCTTACCTCCAACTGCTCTATTTAAATGGCTGAATTACACATTCCTGTCCAGCTGTGAACCTGCACACCACAGTATGCCTTCTCAGTTCAGCATATTTTGTGAGATCAGCTTTCACTTAATCCTTCTGGATAAGCTAATTATCTGATAACAGAATTGGAAGGTTCTACACCAAAGTCTGATATTGGATATGATGCTGAGCCAGATAAATCCAGCTGAAATACAACCCATTTACCAAATGCCTACTTCAATATTATCCTCTGATTTTTAGCTTCATAATTCTCTTATAAATAAAATTTCCTCAACTTACTTTCCTTGCAGTGTACATAGCCTTTTCACTCTCCCAACCATACGCGTGAGTTCTAGAATGAGGGTTACCATGGTAATGTGTTAAATATGGCAACATAGCATCCAGTACACGCGGATCCTGCACGAGACAATGTCATAATAACCAGAAACTCATTTAATAAAAGATGTTTAAACACAGCCAATTCTCAAACATTTGGACTAATGGTAAAGAGAAAAATGAATATCTGAAAACAAAAATATCCAAAAACCTTCATTATAATGCTGAATGAATCCAAATACAACAGTAAGTTGAGCACTTTGCTAGAGCCTAGGGTTTATGAACCCTTACCCAAAGATCATACAGCTAAGGCTGAGAGGAAAGTACAGAGACACCTCTCTGCACACAAACCTGCTCTTCCTGCATATCTAACACATAAGCTGACTCTATACCACATCAAACATCCACATCTATATGGGCATCTCAAGATTCACAAATCTGACATTCCTCTGAGGCCTATAGTGAGTTCCATTGGTCCCCCTTACTGTGCCCTGGCTGGTTTTCTCCATAAGATACTGTGTCCTTCTGCTGCAAAACCGAAATCTTTTGTAAAGCATTTGAGCCACTTAGTACAGTTGTTGAAGACTGTAAACCTTCATTCTCTTTGTTAGCTTTGATGTGTTAGTCTTTTCACTGATGTACCAACACATGAAGCCCTACAAGTCATCAGAAATAAGCTCCACAGTAATGATACATTGGAAAAATGGTCTGGTTTTCAGTCTGAAGCCATAATAGAAGTGCTGAAAGTTTTAATATTTTCACGTGGACAGTATTTTTTAAATTTTTTATTATTGCTAGTGGGGTGGGACTAAGTCCCTTGTACTGCAGCCACTTCTGGTCTATTGTACCAGCCCCAGATGATAGGTGAGGGTGATTGTGGAGCAATTGTTGGAATGATGATTGGCAGGGGAAACCGAAGTACTCGGAGAAAACCTGCCCCAGCGCCACCTTGTCCACCATAAATCCCACTTGTCCAGACCCGGGATCAAACTCGGGCCGCCACGGTGGGAAGCCAGCGACTAATCGCTTGAGATATGGCGCGACCCTACGTGGACAACAAGTTCTTCCAACAGAAAAATGGCATGGCTATGGGAAGCTCTCTATCTCCCATTGTCAGCGACTTCTACATGGAGCATTTTGAGAAAAAGGCTCTTGACTCGGCACAGCACGACCCATTGCACTGGCTCCAGTAAGCTGATAACACATTTGTGGTCTAGCCTCATGGCCCAGAACAGTTACAGAATTTCCTCACCTACCTCAATAGTTTCAGGCCCTCCATCAAGTTCACTAAGGAAACAGAGTCAGACAGTGTGATTCTTTTTCTGGATGTTCTGGTCATCAGGCCACCACAGTTTACAGAAAACCCACCCATGCTGGCCAATAACTCAACTTCAAATCTAACAATCTCCCGCATGTGAAAAGAAGTTTAATTCAGACTCTTCACAATGCCAAGAATAACATGATCTGTTAAATGAAATCAGTAGCCTGAGACATGATCTCCAGATCAACGGTTATCGCCAAGGATAGCAGTCTTCCAAATGGAGGCTGGTTAGCTCTTTCTAAGGGACCCAACAGAGTAGGCATCTCCCACTTACATGAGACCAGAACGGATCCAGTTTCCAAAATGTTGTGTTCTATAGTTTTTGGAGTAACAGATGATGGACAAAGTACAAACACCCAGTAATTCTAAGTGTCCTACATCACTGTCAGAATCCTTTAGAATCAAATACATTCCTAACATCTGACATTGTTCTTAGCAGTTTACCATTGGAGTTGTTGCCTGTGCATCCAAATATAATGGCCTCCCATCAGTAGGAAGTTTTTTTGTATAGTCAACAAGTTTCCTGACTACAGGGTCACCTGAAAATGAAATAATACATGAAATAGGTATGCAGTGAAATTCTGAAGGTATTTCCATAACTAAACTAACTTCCAATCAAAACAGAATATACAGGTAAATCATAGAGAACACACAACTTCCAAGAATAACTGTTACTAAATACTTTGTTAACAACATAAGATATTACTACAATTTACTCTACTGTAAAATCCTACATAATACTGTAAATACAGTGTAATCAATCATTTCTGAGCTTCCCACAAATTTCCGAGTTGCTCAGATGGAAAAGTATGATGTGTCTTCTATCAGGCCAGAGAGACTCAAACTGCCAGCACAGTCAACAAACCTACAGTCTAATAAATCACAAATAAAACTTACCCAGATTACAGCTGATGCTAAAAATGCTCCTTGTGATTGCTCTCAGGGCAATGTTCAAAGCCTAGCACCAATTTCATAGCAACTGAATTACAGAAAATCAAACTGATTCCAAATACTGAGTGCTCACTAAAGAAAAAAAAATTGGTGAAATTGTTTTTTTAATTGAAGTGAATTTATTTGCATAAACCCTAAGCAGGTTAACACCTTTGGATATAGAACAAGTCAAAAGAATACCTACTGGTACAAGTAATTTTATCTTAAACTAATATAGCTTAATTCTACATTATTCTCTATTTACATTGAGGTATTTGTCTGCAGAGTAGAAGGAATGAGCATGCAGATAATTCTTTAGCTCTGATTTAAAATGTTTAGTGTCATTACTCAAGTTTTTGATACTTTGTGAGAAACTATTGTACACTTTTATGCCAGAAAAGTAGACTCCTTTTTGATATAGTGATAAGTTTGATGAAGGTATGTGGAAGTTATATTTTTGTCTAGTACTCATGTTATAGATATTGGAATTTAATTCAAATTTATTTTTGTTGAACACAACAAATAAGAGAAGCGATAGTATGTATTGTGATTGAAGAGGTAGAATTTTTAATTTCTTAAATAAATCTCTANCATGGTAAACCATCTTCAGTGTTTCCTGTTGCATAAAGGACTTAATTGATCTCATTGCATAGCAAGCTGCACTTAATTTAGGTATAGTTTGTTCTATATATATTTTCCAAGACAGTGTACTGTCTACATGTATTCCAAGGAATTTTGTATCAGGTGCTTTACAGATTAATTTGTTGGCATAACTGATGACCAGATCACTTAGGTGGCTGTTTTTAGTTGAGAATGGTAAGTAATGGGTTTTATCAAAATTTAGTGAGAGTTTATTGGCTTCGAACCATCTATTTAAAGCTTCAAATACAAAATTTATGTATCCAATGGTCATGTACCAGAATGGATCGATGAATGCTAATAAATACAATACAATCTGCATTAAAGCAAGCAACATAACTTTAAATCAGTCTAATTATTTGATGTCATTAAACTGAAACGGTATTTTTCGAACTGTCATACAATGAGGAGTATCTGCATTCCAAACTAATTGCACTCACAATGCAGTCTTAGAGAAAATTCTATGAATTTGTCTAAATTGGCCTCATTTTAATCTTACACTATATATGCTAACAATTCTTAACACGCCAGGTATATTAAGTAAAATTGCTGCGGGGGGGGGTTAACCTACCCTAGGCTAAGCCAGGTATATTAAGAAAAATTCCGGGGGGGGGGGGGGGTTAACCTACCCTACGCTAAGTTCGACTAACCCATCCCAGATCACACCCGAATGAGGCAGCGTCAGATCAAAATTCGACCACGACATTTGTGTTATCACGGACCTATACAGCAACGTGCTTTCTGAAAAGCTCTTTCTCTCATCCTAACCTACAACTTTGGCATTAAGTGCCCAGCACTTTCATATGAAAAGAAACAGAGAAATATGCAAAAGAAAAGAAAAGTAATACCTTGTGGAGCTGTTGCATAATGGTGATTAGGCAGTTGTCCGTAATAGGGTTCGTTAATTGCAAATATTCCAGAATAAATAGTTGAGCTTACTTCTTTCACACCTCTAGATTTCAGTCCCAAAGAAAACAACTGTAATAAGCGAACCATTATACGACCTTAACGTGTTCCAATAATGAAATATAAAGACGCGTATACCCAATAAGCACAACCAACTAGAAATCACAGCCAGGCGAGTCTCACGAACTCGCAAACATAAATTTCATGATTCGCTTTCGAACATCCACCACTTGCAATTTCAATGTCAACTACGGCACCTACAACCATTAATGCCACCACCGGCCACTACAGCAAGACGCGTATACCCAATAAGCACAACCAACTAGAAATCACAGCCAGGCGAGTCTCACGAACTCGCAAACATAAATTTCATGATTCGCTTTCGAACATCCACCACTTGCAATTTCAATGTCAACTACGGCACCTACAACCATTAATGCCACCACCGGCCACTACAGCTGTGGGAGCTTTGAGCGCCGTAAGTTTCAGGCACTGCTTGACGTCATGATCGGTCATGACAGTACTGCCATCTGGCGGACGTAACGCTACTAGTTCTCCTAAACTAATGGCGTCAACTCTCGGAAGACACACTGTTCAGACACGTCAGTGTGACAATATGAGTGTACGATGATGAATGTATAAGGGGTGGGCCTTCTCGACCCTTGCACCGCGACCTACATTGTGCTCATATGAGTGTAGGTTTGGCTGCTGAAAATATAAGTTTACGTGTCTCTTGCATTTTACGAATCAAAGGGACGAGAACTCCACCAAACTGACAATTGAATCCAGTCTACATTATCAGTCATTATCCAGTCAATATTGTCCCACAATCTATGCGTATGGGTAACAAATGGTTCCTGCCCCACTGAGTCCTTACTACAGTTTTGTTCATATTACTCACTTCACCACGTTTGTTACATGCCTCGCCCATCGTATCTTCCCAGACAAGATCACACTAAAATAACGTGGGTATAATTACTTACTTACTTACTTATTCATGGAGCTGAGCCCTTCTGGAGGAGCCGCCAATTCTGCAGCTACTCAAGAATTTACCAGCATATTGTGGAACCCAAAGGTTCATTATCGTGTTCACAAGAGCCCTCCACTGGTCCCTATCCTGCGCCAGATCTATCCAATCCATACCATCCCATCCTATCTCTCTAAGATCCATTCTAATATTGTCAACCCACCTACGCCTTGGTCTTCCCAGTGGTCTCTTTCTTTCTGGCTTTCCCACCCATATCCTATACGCATTCCTCGTCTCCCCCATTCGTGCTACATGCCCTGCTCACCTCATCCTCCTTGACTTGAGCATTCTAATTATACTTGGAGAAGAGTACAAGTTATGAAGCTTCTCATTATGCAGTTTTCTCCAACCTCGTGTCACTTCATCTTTCTTCGATCCAAATATTCTCAACATACTGTTCTCAAACACCCTCAGTCTATGTTCCTCCCTTAATGTCAGAGACCAAGTTTCACACCCATGCAGAACCACAGGCAAAATTAAAGACTTTAAAGGATTTTATCTAGTTTTATCTTGAAAAGAGAACTACAGCGTGTAATTTTAACACGGATTAAAGCAGTGTAGCAGTTTTAACACGATTTAATAAAATATTTGTAACATATCAAGAAACTTGAAGATGGTCGTTTGGGGCCGAAACATGTAGTGTCAATGTGTATAATGTTAAACTAAAATTAAGTAGTGAATAAACAAGTGTTGCAATATTGACGGACAATAAATGCATGGACGTTTAGTTCTACAACTGCAACAGGATGCTGAAATACAGAATTACAATGCCGCTTGTTATTAGGGTCTTGTCATTTCAGTGTCAGACATCGAATTGCCAAGACGGTGCACAAAACTAGAAACATGATTAGACGGACATCTTCAGAATTTTAACTTTCATACAGAAAAGTAAGTCAGAATTTTGACTGGTTAAGGTGCACACGCCCGGCTTTCAACTGCTGGCAAGAACAGAAATATTTATCTTCACCAAGTGTAAATGTCCGCTATGGAATGCACTCAGTGAGTACTCAGAGCGTGAAGAGGTTACAGCATGTCGATAACTATTAAATTCTGTCAAGTGTCAGTGTTAATAACGGCATAACTCTGAAGAGTTCTGTCAGTGGTGTGATACAGTTAATATTGTTAGCTTTCTGGTGTCTGTCACTGGACGTGATTGTGAGTAGCTTCTTGGAAATGTACGACCCAACTAGATACCCCTCACCGGACGACAGGAAGACTCTGGAAAGCCAGGTAATGCCCATGTTAATAATGAGAATTCAACTGCGTTCTCTTGACTTCTTGTCGTGGTGATCTCTTTTAACTAAATGGTTGAAAGTGCGTCTGCATATAATTATCCCCACAGAAGGGCGGTTACCAAACTATGTGGCGTGTACCGAATTGGTTCGCGTAAAAATTATGGGAATGTTCTGAAACCGAATTACCAATAGGGCAGACAAAACCTAACCTGATATACGTATATCTCCATAGAGTGTGTGTTTGATCTGCTGAAGAAAAAATAATAAAAAAGGTTGGATTGAACTTCATTACGGAAATGTTATATTTTATGTTTTCCAAAAAGTAATCTTATAGCAATACACTCAGTGGAGGGTAAATGGGTAAATAATATAACCCTCAAAAGAAAGAAAATAAATGCATCAAAAATTTTAGTTGGAAAACCAGAAGCGAGACTACCCACGAGCGCTAGCTTCTTGGGATAGATAATATTAAGAAAGATTGTAATAATAAAGCTTGTAGAATAGATTCATCCGACAAATTTAAGGTTCAGTAATGAACTCGTGTAAACACGTTAATGGATTTTCGATTTCCGTAAAAAGCGGGGAACTCCTTCGCCAAACGGTTAATTAAGCAACATATCATGGAGAAATGAGGGGAATGGAAGTATATCTCCACAATTTTTAACCTCAGAATTAAATGAATGCGAGTTGTCAGCTTCAAACCACGGCCTCTTTACTCCTGCGTAACCATCCCCCGGTATCAATTAGGTAGGAAGCTGGGTGGGCCCCAAAGTGGATATGGACGTTGTGGAGGAAACAAAAAACCCTCTTCCCTTGCTCACCTGCCCGTGGCCGTCCGCTGTGAAGACTGGCTCCTGGCAGGTAACGTATATTATTCGCTTAAAGAATCTATTTCCTTTTATGAGGGAAATGTGATTACACAAAAAAAAACAGTTATTTTAGCATCTCTGAAGAATTAGCAACAGCCATGTGACGGACATTATTGCTGTACCCTTAAGTAGAACAATCGGTGTGCAGTTGGGACTACAAGCGTTAATAGCGGCAGAAGGTGTAACTCTTTAATATAGTTTCGAGGCTTCCACATAGATGGAACTGCAGTTTTATTCTCGATGCTACACATACAAGCAATTCGCGTTCCGGTTATGGTGGAGTAAAGAGGTTAGGCGTGAATTTGATCGTGTTTTGAGAAGAAAATTGCGGTTTACAGTTTAATACGGTGGTGTTAGAATACATTAATTCATTTTCGTATTCTGCTGAATTTTATTTGGTTTTATACCGAAAGTGACAAATACTCGTAAGTAAATTGCGGGGTTCGGGCAAAAACACAACGGCCGGAAATTCACGTGCTTCTGACCGTGGACTCTACCAATATAGAATCAGTGGCCTAGAAATGGAAGCAGATACAATGGAAGAGGTAGGAATATCATGTGATGCAATTATCCATTCTAGATTTCTACTTTTGCTGCAAACAATGGTAACAACAAACTGGAATATATTCGCCGGAAATTTGCAGTGCTTTGTTTCAATCGTTTCTTTGGCTGTGCCCATTACAGTTATGCCCATGCTTTAGAGCAGTTAAAATAGCACAACTTATTTTTTTATTATTATTCATAGTGGGAATGAGTCCACTTGGTACTGCGGCCACTTCTGGCCTATTGTACCAGCCCCAGATGATAGGTGAGGGTGATTGTGGAGCAATTTGCAGATTGAAGATTGGCAGGGGAAACCGGAATACTCGAAGAAAACCTGCCCCAGCTTCACAAATCCCATATGACCAAACCCGGGCTCGAACCCGAAGCCAGCGACTGAGGCCCGGCCTTATTGCACAGTTTGCTGAAGGAGATGTGTCCCTTTGAAGCACTCTTCTTCATTGAATTTTGACTTGTTTCTACATTCTATCCCTTACATACTTACTCACTCATGGAGCTGAGCCCTTCTGGAGGAGCCGCCTATTCTGCAGCTACTCAAGAATTTCCCAGCATTTTATGGAACCTGAAGGTTCATTACCGTGTTCACAAGAGCCCTCCACTGGTCCATATCCTGAGCCAGATCTATCCAATCCATACCATCCCATTCTATACCTCTAAGAACCATTCTAATATTGTCCACCCACCTACGCCTTGGTCTTCCCAGTGGTCTCTTTCCTTCTGGCTTTCCCACCAATATCCTATGCGCATTCCTCGTCTCCCCCATTCGTGCTACATGACCTGCCCACCTCATCCTCATCATTCTAATTATTCTTGGAGAAGAGTACAAGTTATGAAGCTCCTCATTATGCAGTTTTCTTCAACCTCCTGTCACCTCATCTCTCTTCGGTCCAAATATTCTCCTCAACACCCTGTTCTCAAACACCCTCAGTCTATGTTCCTACCTTAATGCCAGAGACCAAGTTTCACACCCATAAAATTCTATCCCTTTCTTTGCGAAATTGTTGGTCTTCCAGTTCCTGCTCAGTTTATCAGAGACTTTGCTTTGTCAATATTTTCTCTTAAAATAAAACTGTCGTTCTAGATGACTTCAGATGTTAATCTTGTTTGTATGGACGTTTACGTGTGTGGAACCCAAATTTTCTCTTTTCATCATATTGTATTAGTATTCAATACGAACATGTGTATATTTTTTCTGGTCGTACAATAGTTGTCGTGATCGCACTAATGGAGAAGTTTTGTCTAACCGATACAAGGTGCCTTGTCTAGTATTTGTATTTGTGCACGCGTTTTATACACGTTCCTGCTTGCTCGTGCTTACGTTATAATTGTTTTTAGCGCTGTTAAGTAAACGTGTATACAAATAAAGAATTGAATGGTTTTGTCATTGTTATTATATTATAATGGTGATCATACGCACTCTAAATAATTTTTAAATTTAACTCTTTTGGACAAACAAATGTTCGCAGGTACAGTCTGTATTTACCTTCTTAACAAATGTCGGAATTTATGGACACATTTATTTGTAAACAACTGACTTCTGAGATTTTTACTCTCGCTCAAAAGTTCTCGCAAACCGAAAGCTACTTTTGCAGAGTACTGTTAGCATTGGATTATGACCAAAAGAATAGAATATCCAAATATTTCGGATGCCCTACATTCCCCCTTCTTCAGGGTCGAATAGTTACACATTGAGACGTATTAAAATGTTTCAAGCAAAATTCATATGTCACGATAAAGTTACTGTTTACTAAGGCTAGTCAAAGGTTCCACAAGCTAGAGTAGACACTGCATTACCACATTTCAGGGGGCCCATATACATACGAGCAGTGGCGGCTCGTAGCTAAAATTAGTGTGGGCGCTGCTCCAGAAAATTTGTAGTCTTTGTTTTAAAATTGTATAAAATGAAACAAACATGTATAAAAAGAAAATTTATTCAGAAACTTGATAAAATCCTAAAAGAACAAAATCAAACATTTTTTACTTACTTTAATCTAAATTGTTACAGTTCAAGCTTAATCTATTCATTTAAAAATGAAATCCATTCTTTTTAACCTTTATATTATGCTCATTGATTGAAAGTCTGTATGCCTCATTAAGTTTCTCCTTAATACTTACGGTTCCTAAAAGTGACAGTGAAACTGCATTATCAACGTGCTTCTTTGACTTATCATGCTTTTCAGTTTTTCTTTCATTTTCTTTATATTTCTAAAACCATCTTTTGTCCACGTTACATCACCCCCAAACAGCAAACACGGGAAGCAAAACAGTGCATTTTTTACTTCATAGCCGCAAAGCCAACTTTTCCGTTTGTACCATTCAGAATTAAAGCTACGACTA